CAAACCTTTTCGTAAACTATATGGATAAGACTAATAGCTATGATAAAACAAGAATATTTATATATATTTTGGCTCAAATCTCTAAATCATAATGGTTTATTCGATTTACTAGATTGTGATATTTGGGGTAATGTAAACAAGTGTTTGGTTCATTGCATGTTGTCTCTACAAACAATCTATCATTTGTTATTAAGCCGACACCAAACATTTGGTAGTTTCTTCCTTACTTCATGGAAGACTGCAAAATCATTCATATGCATGTATGTGGTCAAACGTTGGGAGTTCTTTCTTTTTTTCTTTTTCTTTTTTATATATATTTTAGTTTGAGTGAAATTTGGTTTGACTTATTAGTATACTAGGTTATAACCCGTGGAAACCACGGTTAGTATATTTAAATTTTTTATATAGATAAAAAAATGTAAAAAAAAAAAAAACAATTGTCGATTGTAAGTAATTATAAATTAATTTGTTAAGCAAAATAAACATAATAATGTTATTAATATATGATTTTGTATTTTCAAATTTTAAATTGAATTTGATTTGTTACCAAAAAAAGAAAACAATAAAAATCATAAAAAAAATGTCACGTGTCAAAAAGACATTCTAAAAAACTGACACGTGTCATTTTTAAGTTTTATTTATTAGAAGAGGTAGATTTGATAAATGTATTGGTTATAATTTTTAACCGACAGTTATTATTGTAAACCTCTAGAATAATGTTGTATTTCAAAAGCTCAAATTATTTTGTTTCATTTTCTATGATTATGATGAATATTTTTGAAATATAGTGATCCGGAAATCAGGAAACCGAAATAGTTGAAAATGGTATCACAACACAAACAAGTGCACACTAAGAACAATTCGTTTAGATCATTCTTTTTCGTATCTACTGATTGAAGACGATGATTGCTTCGCCGATCATCTCTATTAATCACATGTTAGAGTTGAAAAATAGGTTCAGTTGAGTATATGAACAGTTACAAATTATCTGAACTAAATAAATAAATTACAATAGTTCAAAGGTAGAATATGAACTATACACTTGAACATTAAAAAACACATTTCAAATTCTTATACATATGAGCTAATGAATAATGCTTAAGCAATCTCATAAAGTAATGCGTAGAAAAATATCTATCAAATTGATCTTGTTGAATCTAGCATGTAAGAAACAAAAAATTTATTGTAATATTAATTCTATGTTAACTTATGAATTCACACAAAGCGCTTTCTAAATTATAAAATAGATAACATATTTATAGGTGATAAATTTATTATCTCCCACTCATAATAAATGAATATAAATATAACATATATTTTCATAAACCGAAAATCATGTAAAGCTAAACATAAATAAAAAACTTAATGAGATCTCTTAACTACTTAACTAGATACTGTGTGAATCATGACCTAAATTACTGTCTACACAAGGCCTTAAATATATATTCTTATTAATCCTCGATAGTGGCGAGTATATTTTCTACATAAAACTTTTCTATACTTTTTTGGAAAAGGCAATATATTGAAAATAAAAGCCACACAATTAGCAAGTAACTAGATTGTGGGCAAATACAAGGTGTTCAAATAAGTACAAATTAACAGAAACTAAAAGGAGAAATATTCCATTCAAACCATCTACCACATTGCGTAGATCCGCGATACTTATACCATGAATACGAATGAGAGATGATATCATCCCACGATCTTTGATTGAGTCATTTCCAATCTTTTGAACACCTTTTGATTTCTTGCCATCCAAATATACCACACCATACAATATAAGATTAATGTGATAATCCTCCGTTTTCTTGGACAGTTGCCCCATGAAACAACAAATTCGATATATTCTTTCATGTTGGAGAATTGTTTAATGGAAATAGCACACCAATTACGGATACTAATTTAAAGATTTTGTGTTGTAGGTCCTTATTATTATTATTTTTAGATAGATCCTAAAAACTTTGTATAGATTTTTTGATAAATTTAAAAAAAAAATGATGGGTCCTAGGACCCACCTTCCTTATAGCTAGCCTTGCCCTTTTAATAATGTTGGATCACAATCCAACGGATTAACCCGTAGCATACATATAATCTCACAAATTAAGACGATAGATTTCTACCGACTCAATAGGTTTCATTATTGTGAAGCATTTTACAAAAAATGCATAACACATGTGAACACATGTGAAAAAACAAAGTCCTCTTGATCTGTCCCACTGACCAGTTAGATAAATTAGGAATCCCAATAAATTATTACAACATTCTTAGCAAATTGAAAATTTGTTGCCTATAAGACTCATGGTGAGTCCATACATACTTTTGGGCCTGGGTCAAAAGGAAATAAAAAGACCCAGACATAAGTATAGTGTATAGTCAAATAATTTATAAAAAATCTATTAATTTAAAGAAAAATAATTATTTGGCTTTTTCAGATACACAATTATTAATAATATTATCAAGTTAAAAAATTGATTCATTGGTTTTGTTGCGTGCCTTCTATCCGGTCGATCATTAGCTCGAATCCAAGGAAGTCGATTTTCTTTGCCGTTTTGAAAAAAATAGGATCAATATCAATATTGTCTCGTATATCTTTATTCATACATAAACTAGTCAAACCATTCAACATTTCTGATGACATTAGTGACCTATTTCTTTGATAATTTCAATTTTGAAAAGATTCTCTTTAGGGATGCTACAGTGACAAAAATGGTTAATATGATTATATATATAATGAGATTCTAACCGTTAAGATTTAGAAACTGAGACGACATAATCGACTAATTCGTTTATCATTTCTTGATTGCTTCATAGGTTGTTATTTTACAATTCATCAATTCGATTTCTTCAATTTTGGTCGGACCTTCAAGCTTCTTTATGAACACCGCTTATTATACATATGATATTGCTTCTCCATGCTTCTAGTAATGTATATCAAATTTGGACCTTTAAATTTGGCTCATTCTCGTTCCATGTAAAATTTCTTATTTTGTTTAAAAAATACACTAATGATTACATTAATATTACATAGCCCATAAATTTTTTGGGCTCTTTGGAACGACCAATCTTGGATTGTTGACTCTAGCGTGCACCGTTTGGATCAGACTAGTACCGACCAACCCTTATCTCCCTGCTTACTCAAATAGTCTAAATCTTCTATCATGTATCTTGATTCCCAAACCATGAATCATTTTTCTTGTTTTATGTTTTTACCCATTTTATGTCATCGTACCGAATTAATGAAGATAGTAAAATTTGTTTACTAAATATTAAATTTTATTGGATATGTTAAACATAGTATAGAATTTTAACCGTAAATCTATAGATTAAAAGTCTCAAAAATACTAATTAATGCATTTCATAATGTAGGATTTTCGTATTTTCTTATAATATATTTAATCTTCGTAATTGATAAAAGTTTAAAATCTAATAAACCTTTAATTAACTGTTTATAAGAGCATTCATAATGATCTCAATGAGAGTGTTGAAATAGATGACAAGTCTAGTTGTCATTCAATAGATTAAACTTTATCGTTGTAAGATGTCATATTAACATTCAATGGAATTAGAGTTTAATAGTCATCAAACTCTTAAATGAAAA